CCTTGGGCGACTATGCTTGTTCTCTTCATGAGCTTGTAGGGAAATTGATGATGCTGCAGACTATTCCAACTTCGGTCTGTGTTTTTGATAAAGTCGTACAACACGTGGCTGGTCAGAAAGCACAGGTGTCTGCGCGCTCTCTGGATGGTGTTGTGGCGTCACTCTGCTTCCTTGTAAAACTCGTGTTTTCACATTATATTGAATGTGTAGTGATATCGCGGTGTGCCATGTAGGTTTTTAATAGTGTGTGGAATTGACGTCTGAGCGTTTACAAACTTGTAAACGATGTTTTAAAAGTGAATTTGTGTGAAAAGGTCGGTACATGCGTTGCGTGGTCGGTTCCGTTGTAGTTGATATTCGCGCATGGGTGCGTTAATAGATGGCGAAACGTATTTTACTTTAATTACTGTAATGGTAATTGTGTACCGTTACGCACCATAGGATACGTTTCTAAAATATAATATCATGATTGAGAAAAATAAGAGCCAAACCCAAAAGTACCATTTGTAATGTAAGTAATAGTATAATACTTAGTACTTTTACCTCATACAAATAATTGTTTTAACATTTTAATAGTGTTACAAATTGTATTGATTTATTGTGTAACTGTAAGTACCGACATTTTTAACCATATCATAAAAAGGGTAAATAATATTTTATTGTGATATTTATTATTGTGTATAATGTATGACATTTAGTGTTAATTTTACTTCAATGATGTATTTTTATTTGTAATCTTATAAAAATGTATAATATATTTTATCTTTGTTGGAAGTTGTTGTAGGTATATTAAAAAATGATAACAATTGAGCAAAGAGATACTGATTTGATATAATATTTAAAATGTATCAAGTTAATTGTAATATTGATGTCTTGGTCTGTTGCCAATGCTCTGTATGAACTGAACACTGTCATGGTATAATTCTAATGCTCTAATATATGCTCTAATAATGTAATAAATTGCAATTATGGTCCATAGGCTATAGAACCTATAGGTCCAGTCCATATACTTACATCTTCTCATTCTAAAAAATAAACTAATTAACATTATGTAGACAACTTTTTGATTGTTAATATGACAAAATAACACAGATATAATTTTTAAAACATTATAAAGCAAAAATGAATAAAATGTATCAACAAACTAATTGTATAAGACCTATGCAAATAATAAAAATGGAATATGTTTAATACTTAATACTCTTAAAATAATTTACTAAACATTTTGTTATATAAAGTAATGTAATATTTCTAAAAATTTAAAAATAAATAAAGTATCAAAATTCTTACCAGGAGCATTATTGTATTAAATGTGTTAATAGTTAATATGTATATTTACTTATTTTTTTAAAAGTATAAACCACAAAATCAATTTATTTTTGTTTTAATTTTGTTGTATGTATTAATATTTATTACTTATCTAATAAGTGTATTCTATTAAAACATACCATTTGTTGTGCCAGAACTCTGTTATGAAGGTTCCATGTTGGTATAGGGAAAACTGGCAACCTCCTCACACCCACTCGTCTTAACATGCCAATATAATAAGTTTCCAGCCAATCCAAAATTGGCTGTAAACTTGGGAACGATGTTTCCAGCTCTTCACTAAGTTGCTCAAACCTATTAGCTACATCTTCGGGAGGAACAAAGGCTAAAGCTGTAATCATCCGTGCACTTAGATTGAAATCTGCGTTATTTCTATAATCTCTAAAAAGGTAATATAGTGTTAGGTACTTATTACAATTTTTAATTGATATCATATACAATAAATTAAACATACGTCATCAATCCAGCAGTTCCAATTTGTTTTTTCAAATTCTGTAGCAAATGAAAAAAACAACCACGAATTTCAATTGCCGGGAACTCTGTCCAAAAAGCATTGTGGACTGCAACTTCATAATTCACGGATATACTTATGGCATTTATATCAGGCACTAAACGCACAAATTCTACTAAAAGTGTAGTATAGGTTGCCTGTTCTTTGTTGGGCTGCAGTGCATAAATACAGGGATGAACTCCACCATTCCTAGATCTTAGTATCACAAACACTCGAGAGAATAAGTTTGGACTTATACTAAACGTCCCATCAACAAACCACTCATCAGATGTTGTAAGTATCTATAAGAAATATTTAAACATTCATTTATAAATTAATTGTTATTTATGTACTTATAGAAAAGAACCTCACTTCCAAACCTCTCTGGCGACCAAACACCAAGATCCTGTTGAGTCCAGGCCCAGTGTCGCACAGTAAAAAGTTTTCGAATTGTCCAGGTTCTACTTCATACTCCTTGAAGGTGTCTGGGATAGTTGAATCAACCAAGGACAAAGGAGCAACAGACATTTGTGGACCATTTCGATATCTGACCCTTCTGACAGTTTTTTTTAAACTGTCAATTGCTGTTAGTGCTCTTTTGCCAGCAATGGTCATACTTTCTAAATTGTATATAATATTGTTTGTGAATTATTTTAAATTATTAAAATAAGGCTATTGTTGTATGTCAGTTTTATAAACAGTATTGGTCAGAGACGAACCATGGGGGATGTTCGCCTCTATCCCCCAGTACTGGTTATTTTAATTTAATTGAATTACCTATACACTGGTTAATTGCCACAGCTGGTGCTTCCATCGTTTCTGATGCCCCTTTTTTAAATTTTTGTTAATGTAACTGCTACCTAATTTAGTAAAGCAAATTTTTATATGTCTTTCGTGTATGAAATTATGTATAATATTAAAACAAGAGAACTAATTAAGAATACAAATACAAATCTAACCATTCCAAAATCAACACTTTGGGGAAGGGGGATGTATAATAGCCCGTTATGGAAAAATTAAAAAAAATGTACTTACTTCTACACTCGTAGGTGATTCATCATGGCCTCCATGGCCATGCATGACACCTATTTCGCCAAGGGTGATATGTATACGGCCTTTGCAATTTGTGTCTCTTCTACGACATCTGTAGGATTCAGTTGTGCCACTGTTAATCATTTTGTCAAAGACATACTGGAAGTCTTGATGGCACTTCACATCAAAACTTCGGTTGCTTTTGACCACAGAACTCATTATTAAAATATTAATACCGCTCTTTTAAATTTTAGAACTTCTTGCTAGGAGAAGCAATTGTCTAATGACGAGGTATGTTGATTAATAATAACTACAGTGTACACTTGTATGTACCCTTCCAAAAATATCTTACTTGTCGTTGGTCATACTCCAGATGTAGACGGTCATCTAGGAATTCTTGGTAAATTAAATTAATTTATATTGTATACTGTCTACATTCAGAGGCATATTAGACTAATTGGAACTAACTTTGGTTTATATAATAGAAAATGGAAATAATTAAATTTAAAATGTAAAACTGGTTTAAGACAGTTTTAAAGCGGTTTCAATAAGCTAAATTTAATTTTAGGTACCTAGGTACACATCATTATTATTTATTATTATAGGGTTATTTTTTCGGGGACTAAATTTCCGGGGATATCTCTCTAGGAGCCGTTTTCCAGCCACCTCCACCAACAATATAAATATTTGTGAAACAATTTTATGCGAATACTTTTAAGTAATCATAAAGCCCTTCCTACCAAAATTAAAATATTTATATTCAACTAATTATTTAAAGGTCCTTACTCCACTGCAGTTGCAGAATACTTCAACAGACACTCTGTTGGAGCTCTTATTAGTTATTACAAATATATTTGTGGTATACTGGTATAGGTAAAACTAGGTACTTACCTATATAGTGTTATACAGTTTTAATTACAAAACCTATTATTTATTTCATCCATACATTATATTATACATCTATTATGTTCAAGATACCGTTATATATTTAATACCTACTTATATGTTAAGTTATAACCAAAATGTATACATCTTTCATAATTTTCTCCTTTGCCGCCCCCTTAATAGTTAAATGCACCCCTCCCCTAATATAAACATTTTCGTCACGATGACGTCTGACATACAACGTACATCACAGTAACAGGTTATAGTGTGTGTTACAGTAATAATAATGCACTAATGCAGTACTTTTACGTGTGGTCTGTGATGTGTTACATTAGGTAATTAGGTTCAAACTGGGCCTACACCAAGAATGATTTTTGTTTGGCTTCTGTTTTTAAAAATAATTTGGACTGTTCTGTGTGAACACGGAATGGTTTTTGTTTTGTTTTAGTGGTTGTGATTACTTGTTCACATAATAGGAAATATGGATGTTAGGTCCCATTGAGCCCCCAAAAAAACTATAGCTTAAACACATATGATCCGATTGTTTGTCACAGTCTATTTTTGCTTATGAGTAAACACTATAATATAAGAATAGGTTTGATGGAATATGGAAAAGAGTTATATTTTTGGACTTGGATATGTACATAAAATATATACCTAACATTCATAGGTTTGATATAAAAAGATTGTATATTTTTCATAAAAGTTTTTTATAAATTAAGGTTTATAATTATTCTTGTAATAAAAAATTAGTTAGTATTTTTGTATACACATGTATAATAACTGTTTGCAGTATAAATTACTATTTACTTACCTACATATATTTATAATTAATTCCTTCAGACTGCGTATATGCGTAAAATAAATCCGAATGCTTCAATAGGTCGACATAAAATGTTCTTTAGGTAGGTACACATATTTTTCATTGTCATCATCCGTGGCCAGGGTTGGAAAAAAACACGTTTTAAACATATTTAAATAACCTTTTAATAAAATCTTTATAAATTATAATAGTTAATTAGGCAATGCACCGTGGAGGACAGGACGGGCGCCTGCTGGAAGTGTGGCGTGGTAGGCCACTCAATGAAGGACTGCGTCGAGGGAGACGACCGTTGTGTGCCCTGTGAAACCGCTGGTCTGCTAAGAGTCACGCACAAACCAGGCTCTGGGGCGTGCGCCGCCAGAAGACAGTCGGTAGTAGCCAAGACCTTAGATGATTAACTTCCTGCAGATTAATCTGAACGCAAATTGGTCAGCGGAGCAGCTTATGGCACAGACGGCGGAAGAGATCGGGGCTGAGATCCTTATTGTGTCTGAGCCGGCCACCCCCTATGGCCACGAGGACCGGTGGTGCTTCAGCACGGATCACAAGGCTGCCGTAGGAACATCACTGCGCTCAGAGCTTAGTCACGACGGTCGGGGCTCCGGCAGCGGGTTCGCCTGGCTATCGTTCCGGGGGTTGACCGTTTTCAGCTGCTACTGTAGACCCGGGGCCTCACTGCCGGAGTATCAACTGTTCCTGGGTGATCTTGAGGCGGCTATCCGCGCAAGAGGGGACTCATCGATCGTCCTGGCCGGCGATTTTAACGCCTGGAACGTGGAGTGGGGTTCAAGAACCAACAATCTTAGGGGCACACCGCTGTCTGATCTCGCCACAAGTCTGGGGCTGACCCTGGCCAACTCGGGCACCTCTCCTACCTTCGTGAGAGGGGGGGCCACGTCAATAATAGATCTCACGTTCTATCGAGGCGTGGACCTCATAGGCTGGAAGGTACCCGGCCTGGAGACATTGAGTGACCATAATTACGTCCATTTCAACACGGCCGACCTGGCCCAGGCCCCGGTCCATGCCGATATACCCGCTAACGTCTCCCCCGGCTGGTCTACCAAGAAGCTCGACCCAGACACTCTGTGTCGCCATCTGAGCACCACGCAACTAGGAGCTAACGTCGGTGCCGCTTGTGCTGAGACAGCGCTGTCCTCGGCTGAATCACTTGACTTGTTTGTGTTAGGCGCCTGCGAAGCTTCCATGCCCAGGAAGAGAAAGGGCCCCCAGGGCCGGCGGCCGGTGTTCTGGTAGTCAGATAAGATCGCCGATCTGCGGCGCCAGTCCCTTGCCTTCCGTAGGCGATACCAAGCCTGTATCAGACGCGTCGGGCAGCCTGGAGTCCAAGAAGCTAGGTTTTCCTACATCGCCGCCAAGAGGGAGCTTCGTATAGCCATCCGGGAGGCGAAAAACAAGTGCTGGGCTGACTTGTGCGCTCAGGTTGACACCGACCCCTGGGACAGACCCTATAAGCTCGTGATGAAGAAGCTCGGCGGCCAGAACCCGGCCGCGAGCTCTAAAGGTGCCTGTACACTGTAGAGATAAATACAGCTAGATTTAGATTACTCTAGCTAGACTGCACTAGAAGTGTGTTTACACTAGAGTGAAATGTGCTCTAATTAAAGCAGTCATAGAGAGCGCATAGATCAAATCTACCTAGATAAGTCTACGGCCCATGTACATTAGTCAAACTTGATAGTCTAGATAGTTCTTTTATTGAGAGAGCATTTTGGCTGTTAGTTCGTTAGTTCGCGCGTTTTCTTTGGACGAAAAATGTCGGATCGCAAACGCGTTGCAGCTGCAATTATAGTGTGTAGTTTGATTAAAAAAAAAACAGGAAATAAAATCAAAAAAAACAAAGAGGTTGTGGGTGAGAAATTGGATATCAAAAAGAGATGACGAAGGAGTGAACGCAAAATTACTGAAAGAAATGAGTGTAGAAGATACCACTTCGTATGAAAATTTCATACGAATGTCCAAAAATGATTACCAGAATCTCTTAGAAATAATTACACCAAAAATTATAAAAAAAGATACTCACCTCCGAAAAGCGATTTCACCTTCAGAACGACTAACATTGACGTTGAGGTTTCTTGCCACAGGTAAACGGTTTGATAAATAAAAAAATGTATATATTTTATTTTGCTAATTTTTGTATCTTTTTATTATAGAATAATTTTAACATCATAAATTAATAAAATAACATATTATAACATTATATTATAACTTTCAATACATTTTAAATTAGAAATAAGATAAATATAAATATTAAAATAAAATAAAATTTACATCATATTTAATTTATGAAATATGCTACTTGTTTTAACGTAGGTGACAGTTACCAGTCTTTAAGTTTTTTGTTTCGGATTCCTCCGACAACTATTAGCCGAATTGTTACAGAAGTTTGTCAGGCGTTGTTTGAAGAACTGAAATGTGACTATCTGAAGGTTAGTAATTTTACTGGGGATTATAGTTTTCATAGAAAGTTGACAAATTAGAACTGTCACTCGCTATTTGTTGAGGCATTGAAGATAGGTTAGAAAGAGTTATTAAGTTGTCATGTGGATTTTGATTAGAAAAACCACTAGATGATGCCCAGTCAGAGACAGTATCAGAATAATTTTCAGATGAACATGTAGAACCAATTTTTTCACATCTGTCTTCCTCTTCTCCCATATCAATGATAGCTCTCTGTATTATGCGCTTCAATCGTCTTCTTCGTTCTTCAGAACGGAGTTGTCGTAACTCCACAGCAACATAATTTCCAAAAACATCAAATTCATCACTCGGAGCTCTTAACACGGACATAGCTTCTTTAAATAACTCTTCGTCATCTTCGTTTATAGATTTTGATTCATTTCCCTTATATAGTTTTTTTTTCTTACTTTTCTTTGAAGAATTGTCAGCAGTAATCGAAACTGTAAATGTCTCGTGTGATGATTCTCCTTCAGCTTGAGACATAACGACTTCACTAGCTCCCTCATTATCACTAACCTAAAAATGTTTATTTATACGAGTATTTACTGAGTGTAACAACTAATAGATAGGACAAACTTTTGGAATAACTTTTGTATTTATAATTTATAGACCTTAGTGCTACATGTATAGTTTGTTTTTATTTATTATAATATTATATACTATTTGTCTCGCTCGGTGTTATTATATTATACATAATTAAAAATCTAATTACAAGATACAAGTTACAAACATTTAACTCAAAAATCACTTAAACTAATTGCAGATTCCGTCTACATCTGATGAGTGGGAAAAGGAAACACAACGTTTTTATGAAAATTGGAATTTCCCTAACTGTATCGGGGCACTCGATGGTAAACATGTAGTGATGAAAGCACCAATGAATAGTGGAAGCCTTTACTTCAATTACAAAGGGACACACAGCATTGTATTAATGGCTCTTGTTGGTGCCGATTATAAATTTTTGTATGTTGATGTGGGATGTAACGGCCGTATTTCAGATGGTGGTGTATTTGCAAATTGTTCATTGTCAAAAGCTCTCGAAAATAATACTTTGAATATACCTCAACCAAAACCGTTACGTGGACAGTCAAATTCAGTACCATTTGTTATCGTTGCTGACGATGCTTTTCCTTTAAAAACATACTTAATGAAACCGTTTCCTTTTCGAAACCAACCCGGGCCAAATCGAATTTTTAATTTTAGACTTTCTCGTGCTCGCAGAGTTGTGGAAAACGCGTTTGGTTTGCTTTCTGTTCGCTTTCGTGTACTAAGGAAACCTATAGAGTTGGATCCAGAAAAAACCACAAAGATTGTGCTTGCCACTTGTTGTTTACACAATTATTTACTATCTCGGAAAGCCTATAGTTATGCACCCCCCGGAACATTTGATAGAGAAGAGCAAAGTGGTTTGATTCCTGGTAGTTGGAGAGAAGAAGGAACTCCACAAAACTCATTACACTCAATGCAACAAATTAATGTACAAAGAAATGCAAGTTCTACTGCTAAGGAAGTACGTGAAAAGTTCAAAACTTACTTTATGTCCACAGAAGGAGAACTGACATGGCAATATCAATATATTTAAATAGTATTTAAATAATTAAAAAAAAAACAACTGAAAAATTTTTTAATAAAACGTTTTCATTTTTTTAAAGTTAAGATTTTTAAGTCTTTTTTTTGAAATAGATCTAAGTTTAATATTTGATTAACATGAATCTGGCAGTGAAGAACAGAACTTATTGTATATTATTGTAGACAATGAGGAATTCAAAAAATTTAATAGTATTTATTATTTTAATTTTAAATATTATAAAATGCTAAATAAAAATACTAAATTGTATATATAACATCGTATATTGTAATTATATATATACATTATACAATCTATTAATAGTGTTGACTTCAACAAGTTATCATTTATGTACTTGTATATAAATATAAATATAAATATTGATATCGCGTCGCCACCGGCCCATAATATTTAATAATATAATTATTATAATAATATTATATAAAAATCTATTATTAGTTTTTCCATTATTTGTTTTTAATTTTAAAATAATTATGATTCACTACATTACCAAGTAATAAACCTATTTTAATAATAAAATAAGTAACTTACCAATGCATTTGGTACTGTGCCGACAGTCTTCACACATTCAGAAATGCCCGTCATGAATTTCAGTGAATCGAAAAACTCCCAAGAACTTTTCACGGTCTCATCTGCACCTGCTCCACTCTTCTTATTTTTTATCTTTCGTAGTTCGCTATTCATTTGGCACCGAAGATTGTGTAACTTTCTACCAACTTCTGCAGAACTGATTTCCAATTTTTGAGCAATTTTTTCCATACATTTTGCCTTTAGCTGCCTGTCTCTGTATTCCTTCAGTGTACAATTCCACAATTCAGGAGACGATTCAAGAAGCTCAATTAGCTTATAGGTTTTTTGCTTGTCCCACACAACATCGGCCATTGTATAAACAAATTCAAAAGAAAGTGTATAAAAATGTATTAAAAACAAAACACTATCGAAAAAACTGTTCAAATATTTCCACGTGCTCTATTTGGTCTATTCAACTGAACAAATAGATCTAGACTGATCTAGCTATAGTGTCTATCTCCGTTTACATTGTAGATTTTCGTCTACTCTAGTTAGTCTACCTAGATCCTAGAGAGGCAACTGCTAGACCGCTCTATATGTTGTGTACACTTCTAGACTAAATCTAGAGAGCTCTAGCTAGAGTAACTCTACGAGAAAAAATCTACAGTATACAGGTACCTTAAGGGTAGGGAGGCCGTCATCGCCGACGCTTTGTTCCCGGCGGCCCCCGTCACGGATTGGGATTTGGCTCCGTCCCCAGCGGTGCACATCATCTTCCAAGCATTTTCCCACCGCGTTGGAAGAGGGCACGGCTAGTGCTACTTCGTAAGGGCCCGGACAAACCTCCGGACGCCCCGTCGAGCTACAGGCCGATCTGTATGTTGGACACCCCTGGGAAGCTGCTTGAGAGGCTCCTTCTTCAGAGGCTAGAAGACCACCTGGACGCTCACGGGGGACGGAGAAGAGCCCCGAACCAGTTTGGCTTCAGGAGGGGAGTTAGCACGGAGTCAGCAATTGACATGGTTCTCAGCATCGCCGCTCAGGCGGCCACCACCCCGAGAAGGAAGAGCCTCTGCGTTCTGGTGACGCTGGACGTCAGGAACGCCTTTAACTCTCTGGGGTGGCCGGTCATCGACGCAGCTCTGAGGGGCATTAACACCCCGGAGTACTTGGTAGAGATGCTCCGGTCCTGGCTGGCTGGCTGACAGAACACTACTGACTGGCGAGGAAATGGCAGAGAGACCGGTGACCTGTGGAGTGCCGCAGGGTTCCGACATTGGCCCCACCTTGTGGAATGTCGCTTACGACTCCCTCCTTAAGATGGACACGCCGCCCGGGGTGCAGCTCGTCGGTTTTGCAGACGACCTCGCGGTTGTGGGTACGGCCGTGACCGGACAGCAGCTCGAAGATGCAATCAATCCCACACTGACGGCCATAGACGACTGGATGCAGAGCAGGGGCCTAGAGCTGGCTCATCAGAAGAGCGAGTCGGTGGTGCTTTCCCAGGGCATTTGTCCCGCCACGTTTGACGGTTGGCGGCCACCTGATCCCATTGCGAAATGAGATCAGGTACCTCGGTGTTATTCTGGACAAGCGTCTGACTTTTGCTGCACACGCGAGTACCGTCGCTGCGCTATCCAGGCTCATGCCCAACATAGGCGGATCGGCACAATGGAAGAGGAGGCTGCTCGCATCTGTTGTGGAAAGCCAGTTGCTATACGCTGCTCCCGTCTGGATCCCTACCGTTGCAGGAGTCGCCAGAACTAGGGCGATCTTGATCCGTCCGCAAAGGACCGCCGCCTTGAGGGTAATCCGGTCCTACCGCACCGTGTCGGACGAGGCCGCCCTGGTTTTGGCCTGTATGCCGCCCGTGGATCTGCTTGGACTGGAGAGACAGTACATCAAATCCCGACTGCGCGCCGCTATGGAGCCCGGTGAACCACGGCCTTCTAAGGCGGCCGTGAAACTTGAGGCAAGACAAGCCACGATCGTCGCCTGGCAGGCGAGATGGCTTGCCACCCCGAAGGCGGCCTAGACGCGCCGCGTCATCCCTGACCTGGCAAGATGGCTAGGAAGGACTGTCCCGTGGGTGCCTCTGACGTTCCATATGACACAGGCACTCACAGGCCACGGCTGCTTTGAGTGGTATCTGCATCACATGAACAGGGCCCCCAGCCCTCGTTGCTGGCAGTGTTCGGGCGATGCAGACACCGTCGAACACACGCTGTTCGATTGCCCCATTGGGACGGCCTTCGTGAAGCCCTGAGCGCCAGGATTGGCCATCAACCGAGCGCTGATGACGTTCCGGACATCATCTGCGGACCAGCGTTCGAGCTCTTGCCGGCGGACGCTCACGGGAGGTATGTGATCCTGAGGGAAGCCGAAGAGCAGTTCCGGCTGTTCTATGGCATGGTAGAGAACATCCTTTCGGTAAAAGAAGAAGAGGAACGTGGCAGGCTGTAAACCGGCGGTATCCAGCATAAAACACTGTTAGCCGGAAATTGTTTTGTAGCTTAAGACAATAAAAATTTTTGTTTGTAATCGCAGCGAGTGGGGGATTGGCTCGTCGCTGTTATTTGTTGTATTGTATTTTGTTTTTGACAATAAACGATGGGGGTTGAAGGAGAAGTACTGGCACCATAGTTTCTCCTCCAGTCCTCGATACCATAATAAAAAAAAAAGTTAATAAGGCAATGATTTTGGTAATCAAAGTTGAACATAGTATTTCGTTTTAACTAAGAATTTGTTGGGTCTTAAGGATATTGAGTAGGTACCATATTGTCCCTATTGAACATTACAATTTAAAGTGCACTCCGACTTCCTAGTTCGGACCTTCTACATTAAATTGTCAGTTGTGAGTTTGTCACTCATACTGACGTAGGTATAGTAGCCGGTAGAGCTTCCATATTATCTAGACATACCTACGTCATAATTTACATGAGTGAATGTTACAGACTACCGTGGTAGGTATTTACTATAATTTTGTTCACCTAAAGAAAATAGGTAACGTGCAAGGGACATAATATAATATGTATAAACATGTATTATCTGCACCAGGTATTTTGTTTTTAGTATTTATGTATTTAGAAAGTATTTTAAATACTGTGCGCATGTATAAGCCATCCAGTATTTGTATTTCTAACACCTTTTTTGTACTTTTGTTTTGATTTATTGAAAGACCAATATACCTACACATTTATTTTTATTTTTACTTATTAGTAGGGCCCGGATTCCAATGCAAAATGCATCATTTTTTGATTAATCCTAGACAATGCTTTCCAAGTTTATAATTTGATTCATGTAACAGAGACTTCAAAGGTGAAATTTTTATTTAGCATTTTTTTGCTTTTTTTTGCATATTTCAATATTTTTTCATTTTTGGAACATATTTTAGCTTTTTTCGGTCATTTTTTCGTTTTTAATGCTTATTTGTATAATATACAAGTATAGTATATAGACATATAGTATTTATACATTTTACTGCCATAGATTA